GTTCTATGATCCATACTCTGAATAAATTAAAAGAAGCAATTGCTTGTAAATTAAGAAAAAACAATGGGAGCGATTTTTCAGAGCGATAAAAGACAAGATTGGGGAGAGTGCAACCTGTATGGGGGGAAGATAGAAAAATGTAAATACTCTATCCGCTATTTAATTTAATTTCTGTCAAGTAGTCATTTGCACTCGCGATCTCTTAATTTTCTTGGTGGGTTTTCACGTCGCAAGTCAACAGAAATGATTTTACTCGCTATCTTTTTGAAATTGTAAGCATTTGAATAATAAATATGAAATCATATAACCCATCTTGTGTGGTAAAGTCTATTGCAAATTACTGGAAATATGTGCCCACCTCCAAGTTAAGAAACATTTTACCCTGTAGTTTTACTATTTTCCAGGTTTCTTTGTGATTGACGAACCAATCAGATCAATCAAGCGTGATGGATGAGGGAAAAGGCGGAAGCCTACCTCTCTTGTTCTCTTTCCCCCTCTCATCGTCTTGCTCGCGTTTATTATTTTCCACTCCTAAAGCCACTTACTATGGACAAAGTTACTCCACCGTACAGACCAATGACACTTTTGTCATTAATATATATTTTTTGTATCAATGATTGTTAATGCATATTAAGTATTTGTTGTAATGTGTGCAATTTGCATCGATTTGTGAGGATGTAGTTTCTCGGTTTATTTTAGTCCCATTGATTAGCAAGGAGTTGCCTCTTAACAAAGGTTTGAATGCTTTGAGGCAGTTCGTAGAAAGGGAAAGATTTAACGACAGTTTAAAAATTGTAGAATTTACAAGGATTTGTATGGAAAACCATGCAAGCGTGACTGGGTGGCGAAAGTTGTCTTTCTCATACAAATGCTTCTAATTTTCGGGGGCCGTTGCAATCGCTACTTTTGAGTTATACGGCTGAAAATTCTCAGTTTATCTAATGTTAATATGCTCTTTCAGCTTGTACCAACAAAATTTTTCAAAAGTGAATTGTTTTCGTGTTTACCTAAAGTTGAACACGGGATCACAGTCATGCAAAGAGCCTATTGCGACAGTGACGGCAAAGCCAAGAATAAGTGACAAAGAACGGTGGTTTGGCTATTACCGGTCTGAATGCTAAAAAGAAGTAGTTTTCGTCAATTTCTTTTGCGCTTCAGAAAACGTCTCTTGTCAGTGAGCTTCAGTGGACTCTCCTGTGAATTGTGTTAATTGTGAATGGAAATGTTTAGGTGTTCGATACACGAAATGTTAACTGAAAAAATTGCAGAACTGTAATGGTTTCTTTACAATGCATAGCTCATAGCTATCCCCCTTTTCTAAAATACTGACAAAGACAAAGAATCTTTTTTCAATTTCCGTCAGTAATTACTATGTGACGCATTTATAAATACCAACACGAGACGTTTCAAAATTCAGACAAGCGACATGGGACCCCCACCACCTCCCCTGCCAGAGCCTCCAATATAGCCTCCCACGCAGATGTCCTGAGGGCTTCGTCACTTGTTCCTTTAGGATTGTGTGATGAGCCAAAAGAACATCTAAATGGGAGGTTATGGTGAAAACACTTGAATTTCTTTGTCCTGATGATATGCGAACGCTAAACCCAAACTCCAAATTTCAAAATGTCCCCACACCCAAAGCATTCCCACCTCTTGTAAGCAACCACAATAACTTTTTGAGGTGATGGTAATTTTCCATTCTACATAAGGTCTGATTTTTGTAGCCTGCCAACAAGCTCTTCATTTGGGGGAGTCGTGAGAAGTCACATGGGGGGCCCCATGGGAAAGGAGATGTAAGTGCGAGGGGTATTATCTAATGGCTTGCTTTGCTTACTCTATTGGAGAGCTTGCTCCCAGGCTAGACTTTTATGATTATTGTTTCCATGTCATGTTGTAAGTCATAGTGTCCGTAGTTTCCATAAAGATGAAAAACCATAGTTCTGAAGGCCAAACATTTGGCTGAATTAAACTCCCGCTATTACGGACTCTCACTAATGACGACACTAACTCAAGGTCCCTACAGTGTCCGCTATAACGAGAGTTGACTGTAAATGCCACACATGGAGGCAAAATTACCAGTAAACACGGCACTTTAGGACTAAAGGCAGCATGCAGTCAGAAGAATCAGGTGTTTATTCAGGGATTATAAGAAAAAGCCTTGGTACCGGCTGGTAATCTACACCATCCAGATGGTTAATTACTATTCTATCTCAGCCAAAAAAGCAAGACAATCACATCGAACTTTGAACATCTGTTTTACACAATATTTGCGAATGATTTATTGTAATTTGCTGTCAGTGATTTAAGAAATATGGTTCTGAAATAATTGCTGCCCTCAAATAAACAATGCTGTTGAATAAATGCTGCATCAGAAATGCTAAAATTTAATGAATATAACATCAACATTATAACATTTAATCATATAGGTAAAGAATTGAGAGAAAAAAACTAAATGTAATTACTATTGTAAAGGAGGGTTTGAAATGTGACTCTTAGCATATTAGATATATTTCTTCATCTCTTTAATTTGAATTTTTATGTGACTTTCTTGAAGAATTTTGATCTTTGGAGAAGCTACTGATATGTCTAGTTGGATGAACAATAAATAAAAACACTGTACTGTTTTGTGTCATGATATCAGGTGAAACTAGTTTAATACATTACATCAAAAGGCTGATAAGTAATTTGATGGTAACAAGTCTACGTCTGCACCTGACTTCTTGTTACAAGGTACAGAGGAGCTTTGTGTTTGGGAAGCAAAAGTAACATGGTCTAGAGGGGAGGGGTGGGAAGTGGTGGGGAGGATGGTTGCTCAGTGCCTATGCTATTAGATTACTGGACCTCATTACAATGAGAATGTTGAGGTCCCCAAGTATAATCAGAATGCAACAGTTCCTTTTGCCTTTTAAGATCAACTGACACCCTTAGTCAAGAGTCAGCTGGAAGTACAGGATGTCACACTTTTGTATAAGATTATCAAAGGCCTTGCACCTGCCTAGCTAGCCAGTACGATTGGCATAAAGACATAAAGATGAGTTACAATCTCTCTTTTGCGGAAAATTAGTCTGCTACACAGCCGTTTTTAGTGTCGTCACGCAACGTTCAAACTCATTAATAATTCATTAAGAAAATACAAAGGAAATTAATGTTTAATGAGTGTTTGGAAATCGGATGAAACACTGCTTAGTATTTGCATCCTTAATTTCTCCTTCGAAAATGATTTTGTTTGAGAAGAAATACGGCAAACATTCGACACAGTGTTTCATCACCAGATGAAACACCTTGAAGTTCGTCAAAAATACTCCGCTGCGCGTCGTATTTTCAACTCTCTTCTCGGTGTTTCATCTGGTGATGAAACACTGCATCTCATGTTTGATATATTACATCAACATTTAATCATATAAGTAAAGAATTGAGAGAAAAAACTAAATGTAATTACTATTGTAAAGGAGGGTTTGAAATGTGACACTTAGCATATTAGATATATTTCTTCAGCTCTTTAATTTGAATTTTTATGTGACTTTCTTGAAGAATTTTGATCTTTGGAGAAGCCACTGATATGTCTAGTTGGATGAACAATAAATAAAAACACTGTACTGTTTTGTGTCATGATATCAGGTGAAACTAGTTTAATTCATTACATCAAAAGGCTGATAAGTAATTCTACATCTGCACCTGACTTCTTGTTACAAGGTACAGAGGAGCTTTGTGTTTGGGAAACAAAGGTAACATGGTCTAGAAGGGAGGGGTGGGAAGTGGTGGGGAGGATGGTTATTCAGTGCCTATGCTATTAGATTACTGGACCTCATTACAACGAGAATGTTGAGGTCCCCAAGTATAATCAGAATGCAACAGTTCCTTTTGCCTTTTAAGATCAACTGACACCCTCAGTCAAGAGTCAGCTGGAAGTACAGGATGTCACACTTTTGTATAAGATTATCAAAGGCCTTTCACCTGCCTAGCTAGCCAGTACGATTGGCATAAAGACATAAAGATGAGTTACAATCTCTCTTTTGCGGAAAATTAGTCTGCTACACAGCCGTTTTTAGTGTCGTCACGCAACGCTCCTCGTTGCGTGACGATACTAAAAACGGCCGTGTAGCAGACTACGGAAAAATTAGACCATACCAAAATTCAGTCTACGTGTAATCCATTTGTTGTTATGGATTTACAATAAGTAAGTAAGTAGGTAATCTGTTTATTAACAGGGCTTCCACATTGTTGCTCTTCGTCTGTTACTAAATAAAAATAGAATAAATAATAGCCTGTGTCAGGAGCCCATCAAATGGGCTCCTGCCTGTGTACAGATCCCCCCTCCCCTCAGTAAAAATTAGGGGGGTCTTTACACAGGCTAAATAAATAACGATTCAAAGAAAAAATATTTACAATGATCGGACGAATAAAACGAAGACAAATTAAAAACCAAGCAGGTTCAGAGATGAAGGTATGCCTGCAAAAATACTGGTTTTGTTCTCATTTTCTCGCCAGCCTAGTCCCTAGCACTTTTTCCTATTTGCCAAGGGAAAAATCCTTGGAGGGAGTCGATTCGCGCATGAGCACTAATAGGGTGAGACAACAGAAACTGAGAAGCAGATGGTTTAAAATATAGTTAGACACCTTTATTTAAAAATTCCAGTTGAACACTTTGTATATATATATAGGTCGTGAAAGCGTATGGTCATTTTTCCTAGGGTATTTTGCTTATTGTAGTAATTTTATTATAGCTAATAGCGTTTTAGTTTGACCCGTCTTGCATCATCAACAGGCGCTTTTACAGACTTCGCAAAAATCGTCTCGTTTTAAACGCATCTTGGATAAGTCCTATAACCAGGGATACAAACAAAAAAAAAAGCATGTCAAATAGCGCAACGAAAGAAGCCGAAAATGCAACGCTAGTCAGGCAAACATGAAAGTCAGGGACGTCACAACCTTGTTCTTCAGTATTTTAGCAGTTTTCCCAAAACTTATGTCGGAGTCCTTGACATTTTTGGGGTAAACATTCCCCTTGCATTCATATGGGAGTCGCCAACCCCTCTCCTCCTCTGGGGATCCTGAGCCTCTCAGAAGATCAGTACCCGGTTAATGCTTATAACCCGCCTTATCTTCCTTCGCTCTATTTCAACAATAATCAATCAAACTACCCCTTGAACTCCCTAAAAAGGCTAGGATTAATGATCAAAAATTCTGTTTTAAATCCAGTTACAATGGTTGAACTACCAATATAGCATCACAAACCTGGTAATGAAATATAATCATACTGTACTAAGTTATCACTAACCTGGTCTCGAGTCACTCGAGTTCCCATAAAGGCATCTTCACTACCATCAGCTCCCTGTCAAGGGAAAAGAAAGAATTGTTTTTTCACTTTTTATGAAACTTTGGAATTTCATTTAATAGTAAGCAAAATTCTGAAAGCGCTGGAAGACAAAGGAATCATTTCATAAAAGTTTTACTCTGCCACTAACACCTGATTTTGTTTTGTTTTGTTTTTTCTAGTACAAATGACTGACCTGAATTGAAGATTTGCGTCCGACTCTGGCAGGGAAATAACCTTCACTGTCACTAAACATACTAGACAGAAGCACAAGAACTAATAGCAAACTTTGAACCTTAGTATTCATTCTGAATTTAAACTAAGCTTCTACAGCAGCAGAATAAGAGTTGCGTAGCCGTTTGTTGTAAGAGCTGAAACGGGTTGAACAATGTGAATTCAATTTGCGTCCACGATCTCTATAAGTAAGGTACGTTCTTGAAACTGGATATGTTTTTTAATTACAATGAAAGCGCTACCAAAAATACCTCGTCCGGTTTATCTAAACTGTACCATTAACGATATTTGCTATTAACTGAACCACGCTGTTTGAAACAGTACCGCCATTAAGATAATCACGGGAAGGAAATATGTTCGATATTCACGGATTGAGTCATTACGACGGAAATCAGTGGAAATTCCCTTTCCTTCTTTTCAAGAATCTAAAAGAAAACCGATTGCACGTTTCAGTTTCCCAATGGCATTTCAGAAAGGAACTCCTTATATCTTAAATGTTCTTTCCTCGAGACCAGAAAATTCGGAACCTGTGGTCACATAAAAAAGGGGGGTTCTGGGACCTATCTAAAGTAAATAATCGTAAAGTTTCGTTAATAGCTTATTTAACGCTTTCTATAATATTATAATTGATGTCTAGTGCCCCAGTAAAATTTTAATCTTTGATAGAAAACCTGTTCGTTTAACTGATTTCTTCTTAATTTAACGTTAAAGTTCGAATCAAGTTGACATTTCAGGGTTATCGTTAATGACATAATCGATTTTTTAACCGCAAGATCAGTTTATCACGTTTAATTTAGGTAATAAAATTAGTAACGCTCAGGAAGTTCATTTCTTAATAATTCTTTTCAAACAATTACCAATGACAAAAAACGGTTTTCCGCTAAAAATTTAAGAGGTGTAACTTCTTGTTGTTCCCTAGAGCCAAATTTACAATTGGAAATGTGGTACTTACAGATAGATAAAAAAGCATCGAAAGCGGTGAATGTGAAAAATGATAATTTATTTCATGAAATAACAGCAAAAGGTTTCATCGCCTGTTAATTTTGGTTTCCTAATCTCTAGCCCACCTAGCTAATGGGATCAGAGTTTTCCTTATTGGAACTAGATTCATCCCACTCTTCTAGCGACTCAGTTCTTTTGAGGCGATTCTTAACAGTAGCACGCGAAAAATCGTGCTTGCTATTCAGATTACTTAAATGAATCACTTATCAAGGTTAAAATAAACTGCAATACTCAATTGGGCGGTTTTTTAAAGTGGTAATTTTTCGCGAAAAAAGAAATCGTAAAATAGACAAAAAACGTAACATGCTGTGGCGCTTATTTTCTAGCCTGCGAGTAAGCTCTCCTATTTGGAATAGCGAAGCGAGCCGCGAGTTCATGATATCCCCAAAATGGAGCGCTTGCTCGCAGGCTATTTATACTTATTTTCCGTTGGACAAGAGCTCCTGACTACACCCCCGCAATGAGCCAGGTCTCAATTAATGGGGGCTTATATTGTTAGCCGTAAAACGGCCAATCCTCCTGTCGTTAGGCGTTAAAAATGGAACCGTATAGTCGTATAAGAGTGTCAATCGTAAAGAATTTCTTTGCCACAATTCATGACAATTTGTCATTTAGAGAGCTTCTTTGGACTTCATGTGTCTCGGTTTCCTGGCTAGAGGGAGCCTATTTCTACTTTTTTATTTTTCATCCGGAAAAGGCATAAAAGCTGTTTAATGCGACAAAGGAAATTCATTTTGAAATTTTCAAGCAATTTTCTTTTTCTAGATGTCATCTAATTAAAAGTAACTGCAGCCGTTAGCCCTAAATATCGCAAATATTTTGGCAAATGCCTCTACCCCATAGACACTCTTCTTGATTTCCCGCCCTAGAAATGAAAAATTCGAGCGGCCGGAGGACCACAATAGAAACTGACAAGCAGAAATGCAGGATTTTCTATTCACCCACCTACAATTAACTATTATCTACAACAGCCGGATCTTGTTGTGTAATTAGATTTCGATTGTGTTAAAAAGCTTCCCCATATCTTCTACCGGTAATTGAAGTGCAAATACATTTATGCTACGCATTTCTATTTGCATTCAACTTTGTACATTTAATAATTCATGAAAAAATACAACCGTATAGTTAAAAGTCAGCCGCTTTTAATAAACTGATTAAGCAATACTGGCTCAGTTTTATAGCTCATCCAAAATAACCTTATCGTGTTAATTCATGATCCGAAACTAAAGATTTAATAGATCTACTAAAACTGAAGTGTTTGAAATCTTTGTTAAATTTCCTTACAATGTGGCTAAAAGTCATGTGGCTTCACCACTCTCGTGCTTTATTTAGCCTAGATAATACTAAGTACCAAGTATACACACATTATCAGATGGTCATAGCCCAAGTTCTGAACTCTTGTAAGATTCTCTATCATGAAATATGCGGTTTTTACATCCGTCTTAGAGTGAGTTGCTTGTTCGTACTCTTTTCAGGAGTACTACTGAAACGTGATCAGTTCATTCAAGTTTTTTTTCCTGCGGATCATCCAATCAATATAACGTCACTTGAAAAAAAAGGAAAGAAAAGAAAAGAAACAACTGCTGTGCAGCGATAATGAAGAAAAAAGCATTCAGTTGAAGTTAAATGGCTAGATAAAGTTAGCAATACCTCGCCTTTAATTTCCACCATTCAAGAAGTAAAAGCATAAGAAAAGAGAAGAGCCTAGTAACTTTTTTAACAGACAATGCTATTTAGTAGAACGTATTTAATTAAGAAGGTCAAAAATTTAGCAAGATACAGACAAGTTATATATGTACACTGACTATTCCGTTTAGAATATGTACAAGCAGGTCTTCAGATTTATATTCTAAATTACAAAAAAGTGATATCCAACATTTGATGAGAGTGAAAGGTCTTTTCGCAATAGATTGTCACGTGATCAACTTTTTCTAATAACAGTTTTTCATTTCATTTCAGAAAAAGAGTAATGGGTACCATTTTACTATTGTGATGCCTTAATATAATAGCAAGTTACGCCTTTTGGCATCATTTTTAACTGGGTCCATTTCCACAATGCATTCCCCTCCCTCCCCAAATCCCTCTGAAAGAAAAAAGGAGAACATGACAGTATTATATAGCGCGAAACTTTGATCTAACCGTAAATTCCGAAAATTGTTGTTGTTCTCAGGTTATAAAACGCGACAGGGTCAACTTTTGTTATTTTAAGAACACGGTTGTATAGCATGATATAGCAGTACTTTTCAGTTTCTTAAAACTCGCAAAGCAAATTAAGTTTTAGTCTTGTTTCTGTCTGATATTGTCTTTAAAGCCCTTCTAACTATTCAGGTGAATATGTTTCTATTTAACGTTCCTGTTAGGAATGACTTTTCACACGCAGAGAGGGAATTGCAGTAACATAAAGAAAGAAATTCGTTGTCACATTTTGGGAGAGAAACACTTGTAAAACGGGTTGGCTTTCAGAAAAGAAAAAGAAAAGAAAACGCTCGAAAGTGACTCATCCTACCAACTTTTGAATGAACTGGGCACTGAAAAGTGTTATACAATGGCTTCAGCGACATCCTTATTCGTTGGATGCGCACACAGTACACACACACACTGGAATTTGCAATCACGACTTCACAGACGAGTTGTATCGGCTTTGTATGGCATTTGTTCTGTTATTGCCATGAGATGTGTTTACATTGTTTTTTTACTGTCCGTAGCCCGGTTAATACGGCTCCATAAACTATACAAAGCGTTCGTTAGCGGAAGTCTCATGGAAAAGGAATTGAATAAAAGACTTTTCCCCATATGCACGTAATCATCGTTAGTGGTGTAGTGGTAAGGTTAAGTCACGTGGAACCGAAGGTTTTGGGTTGGAATCCTGCTTCATATCTTTTCTTTTTTCCTTCTGTCTTTCTCTTCCTTTTTTTTTCGTTTTTGGTCTGTTTTGATTGTTTATTTTTGTTGTTGTTGTTTTTGAAATATATACCTTCCAGAGCAAAGATAGTATATTTAAGGATAAACAATCTGAATTTCTATCGTTTCCCACAATTTACATTCCTCTTTTACTGCAATATATTCTACAAACCTAAAACGGTAGTTACATGCAGTCACAGACTGCCTTTTATTTGTCTTTTCAAATGTGACCTCAATTTAAATGCCGGCTTTTTTTTCCCGCTGAACCTTTTCCCCCGTAGACTACGAGCAGTGTCTCTTTGAGCAAAACGCGAGACACGCAAATGGTCATGCGCGTGACTGATGGCGCGAGACGGGAGAGGCACGAAGTCTCTCTTTTTTCTTCCCGGGCTGCCGCCCTCGTTTCGCGCGTCTCGCGGCTTCGCCGCTCCCGCGCGCTTGATTGCTCTCTTAATCTGAAGAAAAAGACAGACGGTGTGGCGGGAAGAGACGAGGTCTGGGACCAAGAGGCGATGTTCTCACAACTTGCAAAGCGGTCACCCCGCGTGG